TTGTCTCAAATGAATAAATAACATCTTAAAAAACAATTTGGATCTCAGAACTATCAATCGGGACATTGCATTAGCACAGTAACACATATAAAACTCTTTAATTATTATTTCTTTTTAATTTTTTAAGGACAGGAAGGGGCTATCTAACATTCATTACACATAATGGTGATGTGCACCAGACATGTATCTGTGGGTTCATGAAAGCATATCAGAAAAACTGTGCTTAATCTTATTTAGTCTCTCTTTCTTGGGTCCAGTGTCATTTTACATGAAGACTTATTATTATTATTATTCAGGAATTATTTCTATTATACAATTTTATGACCTCTTTTTTTTAACTTCCAGGTCTTTGAACATAATTTTGAAAAGAAAAAATAATGGAATCATTTTCCATAACCATAATATACTATTTTCATGTCTGCTAATGTACTCTCACTTTTTTAAGCTATTACATTTAAGTCTGCGATCCATTTAAGCTAATTTTTGTAGATGGTAAGAGGTAGAGGCCCAACTTCATTCTTTTACATGTGGATATTCAGTTATCCCAGCACCATTTGTTGAAATTCTTGCCCCTTTAGATGTTTTGGGAAATTTGTGAAGAACCAATTGGCTACAAATGTGAGGGTTTATTTCTGCACTCTCAATTCTATTCTGTTTGATCTGTATGTCTGTCCTTATGCTAGCACCATAGTGTTTTGATTACTGTAGCTTTGTAGCAAGTTCCCAAATCAGGATGTGTGTGTCCTCCAGTTTCATTCTTCTCTTTCAAGATGGTTTTGGCTATTCTTGGTCAATTTTTTGTAGCAACAACAAGAAAAAAATGGATGTATTGATCCATTGCCTTTAATCAGATTTCGTATAGTTCCTACAAACCTCTATAATGGAATTCCAAGGAGGGTGTTTTAGGATGAGGTGTTTGGGAAAACATGTTTTAATTTGGGAAAGGGACCATGATGCTTTAAACCTTTGGAATCTGACTTGTTTCAGAGGACTCTAAAGTTTTATTTTCTTTCACAAATACAATTTGTTGTATAACATCAGAACACAAGATTTGTAGGACTTGAGCAGTAGTACAGAATTTTAGATCATTAACCATGTGGTCCTTGAAATCAAGACAAAGCTGTGTTTCAGGAACCCTCATTATGTTAGCAAATCAGCACAAGAAATAGGTGTAAATATCTTCAAGTCTTGACCTTGATTGGAGTCGTATTTTGCTCAGTATCAGTAATTATATATATAACATATGCATTTGATGATTTGAAACTGTTTTAATAATATTTTTTGAAGTGAACATTGATACCATAAAGTCCTTTGTTGGGTTTTTTTGTTGTTGTTAGTTTTTTTTTATTTAATCTATTTAGTTGGGTAAATGTACTTGGGTACATGGGGCTCAAACTCACAAATCACATGCTCTTCTGACTGAGCCAGCCAGGTGCCGCAGCCCTTTGGTTTTTAATCTGCTTTTAAAAATTAAGGTCTTGGGGCGCCTGCGTGGCTCAGTGCGTTAAGCCTTTGCCTTCGGCTCAGGTCATGATCTCAGGGTACTGGGATCGAGCCCCTCACTGGGCTCTCTGCTCATCAGGGAGACTGCTTCCCTCTCTCTCTCTGCCTACTTGTGATCTCTGTCAAGTAAATAAATAAAATCTTTTTAAAAAATTAAGGTCTTCAGTGAATTATTTACTTACATCAAAGAGTACCAGGAAATCACTCCAAGTCCCAAGGAGCATTTATGATTTCTTGATTCCCCAGCCTGTCCCACAATATGGTCATGGATCTGCTTTAAAAATTTCTTACCCAAGGGCGCCTGGGTGGCTCAATGGGTTAAGGCCTCTGCCTTCAGCTCAGGTCATGATCCCAGGGTCCTGGGATCGAGCCCCACATCGGGCTCTCTGCTCAGCGGGGAGCCTGCTTCCTCCTCTCTCTGACTGCCTCTCTACCTATTTGTAATCTCTGTTTGTCAAATAAATAAATAAAATCTTTAAAAAAGGGGCGCCTGGGTGGCTCAGTGGGTTAAAGCCTCTGCTTTCGGCTCAGGTCATGGTCTCAGGGTCCCGAGATCGAGCCCCACATCGGGCTCTCTGCTCAGCAGGGAGCCTGCTTCCTCCTCTCTCTCTCTGCCTGCCTCTCTGCCTACTTGTGATCTGTCAAATAAATAAATAAATAAATCTTTAAAAAAAAAAAAAATCTTTAAAAAGAATTAAAAAAATAAAAATAAAAATTTCATACCCAGAAACTCACTATCCTTCACAATCAACCAACCTCTGCCATCTCCCAGTGAATTAATGTGTGAAACTTTCGTAAGTTTTTAGATATGATTTTTTTTCTAAGTAGGCTGTACACTCAAGGTGGGGCTCAAATTCACAACTCCCAGAACAAGAGTCACATACTCCAGCTGAACCAACCAGGCACCCCTAGATATGATTTTTTGTTTGAAATGTCAAAGCAACGCCTCCTCCCTTCAAAAAACCAACTCTATAGCATCTCTCTTGGTTTAATAATCATACAAGGAGTACAAATACTGTTTGTGTTAGATCCACTTTTGCTGTTTTACATTTACACCATTTTAACTAGTTAGCATCCAGGGTAAGAGTGAAGTTCTAGCTCAGTCTAGAATATGATTCAATTCTGATGCTTTGTCAAAATGTAAAGTCCCTGATAAGTGCTAAAATAGAACTCTGATGTGGAAACACACTTGGATCACAACGGAGATGGAAGAAATTCTCATTTTATGAAATAGATATATCCTGGAAGTCCTTGCATATTTATAAATATCACATAATTAAGCCATTTACCATATGGATTAGTTGGTCTACCATAGAAACATAACCAGTAGGATATATATATATTTACTAAGATACTTATTACAAGGAACTGCTTTACACAATTATGGGGGCTTGCTAGGTAGGTCTGAAATCTTGTAGGGCAGGCCAACATGCTGGAAACTCCTGGGAAGGATTAATGCTGCAGGCCTCAGGAAAAATTTCTCTTCCAGGGGAATCTCTGTTTTACCTCTCAGGCCATTCAACTGATTGAATAAAATCTGTTCAGATTATACAGGATATCTCTTACTTAAAATCAACTGATTGCAGCATTAATTATATCTACAAATACCTTCACAGAATACCTAGGTAAGTGTTTGAATCACTGGGCAGTATAGCCTAGCCAAGATGACACATAAAACTACCTTTCATACCATAGGACTAACAAAGCCTGCAGATATGTCTGTTTACCAGCTAAACTCACAGGACCCAGTAGCAGTAATACAAATTTCGTAATTCCTCAGCTTGCCAGCTTTGAAAATGTGCAATTCTTGATTGTATTTTTTTAAATTTGGGGATTATCAATATTTTACATTTTCATATTATACATAAAGTAAAATGTTAATATTATTAATAATATTTCATCTCATACTACTTCAAAATTTTATAATTAAAGCTCATGGCACAAGTAATTCTTTTTCATCAGGTAGCTCTTAACAATGCTGAAAAGTTAGAAGCTATATTCCTTCATCCAATATAATCATGTGGAAGTGCTTACAGTTTTAGAGCCCGGTAAGGAGAGTATCTCAGGTATTGTGTATGCTTGTCTCTTTCAATCTCTCTCTCTTCAGTGTCCTCTTTCAATATCCTGGTCTAAGTTCCCATTCCCCTCCCTTGAGGCTTTATACTCCTCCGTGTAGAAGGAGACATTTCCTTTCTTCCACTTTTTGGATCTTGCAAATTTCAGTATCTTAGGCTTGACCAGAGTTTGGGGACTGCAGAGAGAAAGGTAGAGGCTAGTGCAGGAGCAGTGGGGGCACATTAAATCTGATTGTTTTTCTCAAACCAGCATAGTGACTTGATTTCCTCACCATTCCCTAAGAAAAATGTCACCACTCCCACATGAGCATTAATTTTACTCAGTGACAACCCAGTTATCTCAGATATTTTTCCCCCAGCATTTTTTCTTAAGGAGCTTTTGATTCCTTTCTGAATCCAGCTTGCAAGCATCATGACATTAACTGGCACTATGTTAGCAACTCCAAATATCTTTCCTAAAAAAAATTGGGGGTGGGGGTGGGAGTGCCTGAATAGGTCTCAGTTCCTGCTACAATAGACCTTCCATAAATGTTTGTTGAATATAATGGACTTTCCTCTATGTGTTGGGAACTCACGGATGGTCTTCCAACGGCGATTAAATTTCCATCCTGTGGCAATACAAGATTTAATTGCTCTAAATAAGTAAACTTACATATTTCAAAAATAGAGACGTCATACTTCGTAATGGAAATAATCTTGGATGAAAGAAACGCACAATGGCTCTTCAAATTTAAGTCGTTATTGTTCATAATACAACATTACTTTAAAGCCCATTTAAGTGCTCCGCGCATCAACTGAAGCAGACAGAATACTGCTGTCTGGAACGGTACCAATTTTGTCATTTTTTTTTTTTTTAAGATTTTATTTATTTGACAGAGAGAGATCACAAGTAGACAGAGAGGCAGGCAGAGAGAGAGGGAGGGAAGCAGACTCCCTGCTGAGCAGAGAGCCCGATGCGGGACTCGATCCCAGGACCCTGAGATCATGACCTGAGCCGAAGGCAGCGGCTTAACCCACTGAGCCACCCAAGCGCCCCAATTTTGTCATTTTTAAAAGGGAGTGAAGAGACGGGCGGGTTGGCTCAGTCGGTAGAACCTGCGGCTCTTGATCTCAGGTTGGGAAGATCGAGCCCCACGCTGGGTACACAGATTACTTTAAAAAATTAAATCTTAAAAAAAATAAATAAATAAAACAAAAGGGAGTAAAGACAGCGTCAGCCTTCCAAAGAAAAAATTCTGAATACGACCCGCAGGCCCCCCCTTTATGCACAGGGGCTCAGTGCACGCCCGTCCAGGTTTAGGTGAGGGGCAGCGAACCACATTTCCCAGCGGGCCCTGCAGGTCTCCCGCGCCTGCGCACTGGCCGCCTAGGCAGGTAGGCAGAACTCCCGCGCTATCCAGCCGCCGGGTCTCGTCTCCCCCGGTCTCTGCCCCCGGCATGGAGAGGGTCTCGGTGGCCGCAGGGAGCGCGGGCGCCGACAAGGCCGAGGGAGCCGCAGCCATGCCGCCGCCGCCTGCTGTCTCCCCTCCTGCTCTCACCCCGGCACCCGCAGCGGGTGAGGAGGGCCCGCCGCCTTTGCCCGAGGCGGGGGCTCCAGGCTGCTCGGGCTCCCGGCCCCCAGAGTTGGAGCCCGAGCGCAGCCTGGGCCGCATGAGGGGCCGCTTCGAGGACGAGGACGACGAGCTAGAAGAGGATGAGGAGCTGGAGGAGGAGGAGGAGGAGGAGGAGGAGGAAGAGATGAGCCACTTCTCGCTGAGGCTGGAGGGGGGTCGGCCGGACTCAGAGGACGAGGAGGAGGTATTTATAGCCGGTGCCCGACCACGCGGGGCCGGAGGGGCCTGAGGGTCCAAGCCAGCCCTCCCTAGTAAGGGCCGGGCCGCGTTCCCAGCTCGCCGCTGCAGCCTTTGGCACTCGCGTCGACCTCCACCCCTCCCTCTCAACCTGCCTAGGCATGTGGCGCGGACTGGTCCGCACCCGATTCCTTGCCGACTCTTTTTGTGAGCTTCCTGCCAATCACTTAGGCTCTCCAGGTCCGACTCTATTATTCTGTAAATAATTATTAAATTATGCCAGGCGGGTAGGGGCCAAGGGTACAGTGCTCCTGCCTTCCAAGAGCTTACGGTCGGACAGGGAAACAGTCCCTTTCTACAGGGTGTTCAGAGGATGGTAAACCCCTATCTCATAAGTCTAATTGGGAAGGGTTTTGTTCGTCTTTTTAATGTGGTAGCGCGTACTTTATAAAGTTGGTAACACCTAGCCAGTCGGAATTGATATATTAAACGTAAACGCCAGTGTCTGGAAAGTTTGCCCGTTTTGTAATTAATTCATAAAGTAAGATACCCCTCATCTGGTAATATAAAGTCTATCCAAAAGAATGAGATCTTTTTGAAACATTGGTTTATATTGTGTTATTGTAACTTCGATTAGGATTTTGAAGGGTTGGAGGTACTGTAACATGTTTCCGTGTTGCAAATTAAGTTACACATTGTTTATAATGAAATGTGGGGATTATGGTTTAAGAATTTGAGAAGACAAGTACTTGTATTTTACAGCTATTTGCATTGCATTTCCAGCGCCTGATTAATCTCTCTGAGCTGACACCATACATCTTGTGTTCCATTTGCAAAGGTTACTTAATAGATGCAACTACCATTACAGAATGTCTTCATACGTGTAAGCATATAGTTCACATTTCGAACTAATACATTCAATTTTTGAAATGTCTCTAAAGCATCCTAATTTAAACATTTTCTTTTTCAACAGTTTGTAAAAGCTGCATTGTAAGACATTTTTACTATAGCAACAGATGTCCAAAATGCAACATAGTAGTACATCAGACACAACCTCTTTATAACATAAGGTAAGACAAATATATAAGTAAAATTTGTATTTTAAATATACTTTTTCTGAAGGCTTCTAGTTGTGTAGTTGGGAATAAACTCTTGACCTCTTTTGAAAAGGGAACTACGTATTCTCTAAAATACATATAGAACACTTACTCTGTACCAGGCACTGTGATATCTGCTGGGGACAAAAAAAATTAAAAAAGCACAGGCCTCTCTTTTTGAGGATTTTAATTCCGTCACTCAAGTTAATGAAACTAGTTTAGGCTTGTCATTTTGGGGATATTTAGAATACTTTTTAAAAAGGAATTTTTAAAAATTTATTTTGAAATTACTTTTTAAAAGTAATGCCTGAGACAACTGTCCTCTTTAGAAAAACCTGTGTATCATAGGTCATTGTGGGGTTTTTTTTTTTTTTTTTTTACATTTTCCATTCATACTCCGTTTCCTAAGGGAAGAAAAGTACTAAAGGTGGATTACTTTCATTTGTTCAGCAAATACTATTACGTTTTTACTCCTTCATAGAAGAATGCTTTGTAGATGATGCACAGAAGTTCAAAATACAGTCTCTGCAAGGGAGTAAGACCAGTACACATGGAATAATTGAGCAAACTATTCGAGAGTCTATGATTACATAGAATTAATTACTTGACGTCATCTCAGGTGAGAGCCAGTGCTACCTAAAAGTAATTCACCTCTGAAAAAGGAGATAATCCACTCCCAAGAGAAAACAGTTGCAAAGGGCATCATTCACTCTCACTCTGTACCAAAATGCGTTTTGCTGAATTCTGAGGTATTCTCCATCCTTTCCTTTTATTAGGTTGGACCGACAGTTACAAGACATAGTGTACAAATTAGTGATCAATCTAGAGGAAAGTAAGTTTGTTTTATTACATAGTTGTGAATCCCAGAATCTCTGCTGACTCTACTAGTTACATTTTAAGTGTAATTTAGTCTGTGTTTTATCATTTTTTAGGAGAAAAAAAGCAAATGCATGATTTCTATAAAGAAAGAGGTCTAGAAGTACCTAAACCTGGTAAGTTTGGGTGTATATCATAATATATTTGTAGCTTTAAGAATACTAACTTAATAAAATTTACTCCCTTTGAGGTTCTTTTTGGTGATAGCCAGTTATTTTATGATCAAAGAGGGAGAAAGATTATGAAGGTAAAGATATAGTATAATCCAATTTAATTATTTGTAAAAATTAAAGGGCATAGGCTCTGGAGCTAGATTGTCTGAGTTTGATCCTAGCTCTGCCCCTTTACTTTCTGTGAGACTTTAATATCTCAGTTTCCTCATCTATAAAGTAGGGATAATGATAGCACTTCATAAAATTGTTGTAAGAATACATTGAGTAATACAAAGCACTTAAAACAGTGCCTGGAACATAGTAACTGTTCAGATAGTTTTTGTGATGATGGTAATGTCACAGTATAGACGTTAGATAAAATTCTGTTTAAATCCTGGTTCTTCCACTTACTACATATTGCCTTATCTCACTTAAACAGTAATCTCAGTTTCTTTGTAGTTTTAACTGTTAAAAAAATAAGAGTAGCGGTATACTTAGGGGATTATAATAAGATTAAACAAGAATGTGCATGTACAGTGCTAAGTATGAGCCCTGAACTCTGGCACACAGTAGTGCTTGTTAAAGATTACATATATCTGTTGTGTAGTGATGAGCTCTCTCTGTGGCCCTGATAAACCAGCCACATATGTCTGCCTTCCATTGTGGAGTGGTCCCCAGGTGCAATTTCATTGGCTTTGACAGATTAGTTAATGTTATTAGAGAAAGGGAGTTTGAGTGTTTTATGATCTTTTAAATAGTCAACATAGTTATAATATGTGTAATTATTTTTCAAAGATCTCAATTCATGAAATTTTTATTCTAACTCAGCTTTTTTTCTTTGGCTGTTAAATAGCTGTTCCACAGCCAGTCCCTTCAAGCAAAGGAAGATCTAAGAAAGTCTTAGAATCCGTGTTTCGTATTCCACCTGAACTTGATATGTCTTTATTACTAGAGTTCATTGGGTGAGTACCTAAACCTCTACCTCTTAACTGTAAAATAAAGAACTTGTTAAGTCCCAACAGTTACAAAATCATCCTGAACTCAGGTAAAATCAAGTTCTTCTGATATCCTTTTAAAAATTAATCTTGAAATATTCACAACTTAAAAAAAGTTCTAAAGAATAGTACTATAATCACTTGTATCACTATCATCTGGCTTAAGAAATAACCCATGCTAGTATGCCGGAAGCCCTTCGACTACCTCTTCCTGTTCACCGCCCCCTCTCCCCCCGCTTAGAGGTTAATAACCACTCTCCTAAAAGTAATGATTGGTATTCCCGTGATTTTTAAAATATGTTTATCTCATGTATCAGTGCTTAAGTAATATGTAGAATTGCTTTTGTCCATTAAAAACTTCATATAGTATCATTGTAAGTGTTTTACAACTTGCTTTTTTTTTTTCCAACTGTTTTTTTCACTCAGCATTCTGTGATTCATCTGTGTGGAAATGTGTAGCTCTAGTTCATTCATTTCACCATTCACCATTTCAAATGGTATATACCAAAAATTATATACCATAATTTATCTTTTCTTGTACTGTTGAACATTTAACTTGTTTCCAGTTTTTTTGCTATTATAAACAATGTTACTTTATGTATTTGTATACATATCTCCATGTATATGTTATATATATATATATATATATATATATATATACACACACATATATAAGATAGTTCTCTAAGAGTATAGGTTTGCAGAGTCTTAGCATATGTTTGTTTTTAACTTTACTTGGTTTTGCCAAACTGTTTTTTTTTTTTTGTTTTGTTTTGTTTTTTAAGATTTTATTTATTTATTTGTCAGAGAGAGAGAGGGAGAGAGAGCAAGCACAGGCAGACAGAATGGCAGGCAGAGGGAGAAGCAGGCTCCCTGATGAGCAAGGAGCCCGATGCGGGACTCGATCCCAGGACGCTGGGATCATGACCTGAGCCGAAGGTAGCTGCTTAACCAACTGAGCCACCCAGGCGTCCCGCCAAATTGTTTTTTAAAGTAGTTGGATATCCTTTTAATTCGTATAAATTGCTTCTTTCAAAAGATATATGTAGCATATGGTGTACTCTGTTATAGTGCAACACTGTTAAACACTGTCATGATCACAGAGTTGGCGTGTATCAAACTGCAGTTTTCAGAATATTTAGTTTGCAGAATAAAGTAAAGTGCTTTTTTTTTTGGAAAATATGGACTTCCCATTTTATGTCACTGATGATTACTTTTTAATTATTTCCACCTTATAATTCTAGGTTGACCATATCATTTACTAGTATTCAGCTTGTGCTATATTGTATTTATCTTTTTATGTAGTCACTCTATGTTATCAGCTGATATTAAGGACCTCTAAGAGGCCAGAAACGTTTCTCCTGCCTACTTGTGTAGTAATGGTTGATAATGAAATAAAAATCCATTTGGAAGAATGAACAGAAACTATGTAATGCCAAACTTTAAACCAGCAATTTCTGATAATAAGGAGTGTGTTCCAATCTAAATGTCCAAAAGGGACCTGGTTAAATAATGGTATATAGCACATGAGTATGTGTTAGCGTGATAGCATATGTGCTAATATGGAACAGTCTCCAAAAGAGGAGACTACATAGTGTGTTTCTGTTTACTTATTTATTTTAAAGAGAGTGATGGAAAAGATGTGTGTAGACATATGTTTTGCATGCACAGACCATTCCTGAAAGGATATATAAGAAAATGTTAATGGCAGTTAGTTGCCAGAAACTAGTATGTGAGTCTACGATGGGAAAAAGTCTTTCTTTTCATTGTATTTGAACTTTTACCATGTAACTTGATTTTTAATAAGTCTAATTAAAATTTGAAAACTGAAAGGAATTTATATTTCCAAAAAATATTTTGGGAAATGTAACATTTCCTATAATGCATGGTAAGAACTGATGATTAGGTTTTTTAATACATTTTTTTGAAAAGTGGCAAGGATGCAAAGATAGCAGATATGCGATGGATGTGCCACCATTGCCTCTTCCTTTGCCCACCTGCAGAAATCAGTATTTAATCATGGCAGACTCTCCTAATGAGTGAGACTTGGCCACAGTACTCAAGGCATTCATTACCACTTACCAAACTTATTATATTATTAGTACATCCCCTCCTATAGAAAAAAGAGCCCTCATGCTCTTTCCCTGCTGCCAGTCACCAGGAGGCTGAGGCTTAGGTGGACTTGGTTTGGTTCCACCCGAAACCCACCACCAAGGCCAAGAAAGGCATTGCTGCTGGAAGTATAATGGACATTAATACTGCTTTACACGAGGTGCTGATGACTGCCCTCACCCATACAGGCCTAAGCATGTGGAATTTACAAAGCTGCCAAAACCTTAGACAAGCACCAAACCCATCTTTGTGTGTTTGCATCCAACTATGATGAGCCTATGTATGTCAAGTTGATGGAGGCCCCTTGTGCTGAACACTAAATCAGCCTAACTAAGGCTGATGACAGCAAGAAGCTAGGGGAATGGGTGGGCCTCTATAAAATTGACAGAGAAGGAAAACCCCATAAGTGGTTGGTTGCAGTTGTGTGGTGGTTAAAGGCTATGGCAAAGAGTCTCGGGCCAGGGATGTCATTGAAGAATACTTCAAATATAAGAAATGAACACATAAAAAACTTGGTTCTTGTTCCAAAAAAGGAAAAAAAAAAAGAGCCCTCACTTGGAATAAAGGATCTAGATTTAAATCCTCGCTTCTCTATTATCTAGCTTTGTAATCACTAACAAATTGCTTTTTGTTTATTCACAAGATGTTTGTTAAGGTCCTGCTATATGTACCAGCACAGCCTTCTGCTAGTTGTTGAGAATACAGTTTGAATAAGTCAGCCATGGCCTTTGCCCTCATGGAACTTTTAGTTTTAACTTCTCAGAGCTTCAGCTTCCCTATCTGTAAAAAGAAAGAATTGAGCCTTTTATGTGGCTGATTATGATGAGTAGTCTAACTCATAATATAGCTCTTTATCTGTTTTCAACTGGTTGAGGGGAAGAAAGCTTCCAGTGTGGCAAGGAGTCCTTTTGAAAGAAAGCTTCCAGAGGCAAAGAATCCGTTTGAAGTCACCAGTCCCCAGAGTTCACTACATGGAAGAGCTTTTATGTTACCACAAAGTCAGGCTCCTGAGGGTAGCCCATAGACAGCTCTTTCACGGCAGGGCAAGTGGCAGAGGAGTTTTAACCTGATGCGAGTACAAAAGCAAATTTGGACAAGCTTTTGAGCCCACTTAAGTTGGAGGAGCAAAAAAACTGAGGTAGGTTCAGCCTGTGAACAGTGATTTTTCAACTATTGGAATATGAAGTTAGATTCCCCCCCCTAAACTGGATATGCTGTGTTTTGTGATCTTTAGATAGTCTTGTACTTGTCTTTTTTTGTTCTTTAGTTTCTGTGAGTAAAGTAGAAGATAATAAAAAGAAATAACTTCAGACAGGTAGTATAGTACGTGTAGAAAGCATAGACTTTGAAGAGTCAGTAAGTCAAGGTATATAACCTTTGGGATGTAGCTGAACTCTCATCATCAGTTTCTGAATTTCTGAATTGAGGATTATAATAGCAACTAACAAGATTGTTCTAAGTATCAACTTATGGTATTCCTACCATGTCTAAACTATTATCAATATGTGAATATTGAAATAATGCAGGATCATTCAAAAATAAAAGTTAAAGTAGTCTGTGGTACTGTAATTTGTACATGTGTCTAGTGTGGAAAATGGACTCACATGACATACATGTGATACAGCAGAAATTTCATGCAGTTTTAAACTCAGTAGCATTTAGTGAACCAGGGAGGTGATAGCCAACTGTATGCTGTATTAATCCAGCTAGAGTATTATGTTCAACTCTGTGCACTACATTGTAAGAGATGGTAAGCCAAGGTGTAACCAGAACAGTAAAAGTTTTGAAAACCATGGCATACGTGGTAAGGGAAGGAACAAAACTAATCTGAAAAAGAGAAAACAGTCATAAGCCCCTTAAGTTCATTTCAGATCTTTAGAGGGTTATCATATAAAAGAAAGACTGAGTCTAGTTCATAAGACTACCAAAAGGCAGAACTAGGATTAGCGGGTGTAAGTTACAGGGAGAAACATATTTGCTTCAGTGCAAGCAAGCAGTTCTAACAAAGTTGCCCACAAATGGAACGGACTGACTTGTCAGATAAACTCTCTATCTCTTTAGGTGCCTAAGGAGAAGCCAGATGACCATATATCATGGATTCTATAGAGATAATTCTTGTAAAAAATAGAGTATTACAACTCTAAACTTACATATTTTAGGTTTCTAGTATATCCACATATATAACATTTATCTTAATGTAATATTTTGTAATATAGCTTCTATGTTATATTTTATTATATTTCTTTATTTGTATTATAAGAATATGCCGTAGCTGATGCAATTGTGATCTGGCCTACTCTTCACAACATGATAGGGAAGACAGAATGCGGGTTTTGTTGCTAGGTACACCTGAGTTGGAAGCTTTATCACTTAATAGCTCTGTGACCTTAAGCAAGTTATTAAACCTTTCTGAGCTTTATTCTCTTCTATAGAAGGGGAATATTAATACCTGATACGCAGGGCTTTATGAGGACTAAATGAAAAACATGCATCCTATTATGAAGACCTACTATAATGCCTGGTACATAGTAGATGCCCAACAAAAATTAGTGCCCCTTGTCTCCTCATGACATAAACATAATTGATTTAACCAAGAAATATCTTTGTACTTCAAAGTAAAGAGCAAACTGAGTAAATCATGCCCATTATTGCTATAAGGAAAACAATAGGCAATCTAGCCGACTTCTTGTAAGAAATCTATTTTGCAAGGGTTACTGTAAAGAAAAAGACACATTAATTATAATAGAAAGAAGTTTTACTTTAAATTGGAAAATGTTAGAATGCTACGTGTGGGGAAAATATAAATATTAAGGATATACTTTTAACTCCTGGAAGTATACAAAGTAGTGTTAAAATAGTAGGTAACACTGCCTTTGCCTTACCAGTAGGTGGCAGAAATGACAACTACATTTATTTGTTTCGTATAGGGTTAGGTTTTAAACTTAAACTGATGTTCCTCAAATATTTATATTGTTGTTATTTTTCTGTGTTATATGATTTAATGTATAGTTTAAAATGTTGATTAATTTTGCTTTCGTTTTTCAGTGCTAATGAAGGCACGGGACATTTTAAGGTATTTTATTTTTATTTACTTCACAGGACGACCCTGTAGTCCACAATTACAGAGGCAGATTAGCAATCATGTGGAGAATGTTTTCGATTACAGTACAGTTTTGTAAATAAAAGTTGTAGAAATGTGAAGTACATTTAGTAATGCTCTCATAATAAGTTTATGAGAAAAGAGTTATTAAGTAGGGATTTGTTATTAATTCAGGATAGTGGTCTAAGTAAACAAGTGAGAAATTTTTAGAACTCTAAAACCAAATACTGTGATAATTTGGTGACTTTAAAAAATATTTCAAAGTGGGCATCTTGGTGGCTCAGTTGTTAAGCATCTGCCTTCGGCTCAGATCATGATCCCAGGATCCTGGGATCAAGCCCCGCATTGGGCTCCCTGGTCAGCTGGAAGCCTACTTCTCCCTCTCCCAGTCCCCCTGCTTGTGTTCCTTTTCTCGCTGTGTCTCTCTCTGTCAAATAAATAAATGAAATATTAAAAAAATATTTCAAAGCATTTTTTGCATAGTTGGCATTCAGAGTTAAATATGAGCTTAAATTTTTACTTGCATGTAACATTTTGGGCTCAAGGTAAACCTGCCCGAACTTGTTGCTTCAATCATTTACTAAAATTTTAGAGGTAAGAATGAAGTCCTTTGTTAATGTACCTAAGTTCAGAGTTTGTCTTAAAGCCTCTATTATCACAGGCCCCATTATACCCAGTGTTGCTCCTATAGTATGAGTCGTTGAGGAAGAGGTAACTTTTTGAAAAGGGCTAAATCAGGCCTTACAGTTACTTGGGTCTGTAAATATATAGGAAATAGCTGACTTTGATCTGTATAGATTTTTTGACACTTTTTCGAAGTCTGTACTAATATTTGGGTGAATTATACCTGGTTGGGTATACTGTTTTGTGACTACAGTATTGGCTTAGAGATGTGGATTAAAATGTAGGAATAGACGGGTACTTCTGTGGATGAAGTATATTATAGATGTTTCCCAGAGATCAGTGGGATGGAGGGAATGCAGTGTTAAGTTTGGTAACTTTGAATTTATTCTAAGTTGTCAAATATCAGATTTATGGTGATAAGGGAGTTCTTTCCCTAGTAGTATGGTGGGTGGGAAAATAGCATATAAATTTCTCATATGGGACAAGTACAGTGTCATATGATCCTAGAGTTTGACAAAGATGTTTGTCAAATGACCTGTAGTAGCCACACAGACCAACAGAGTATAAAAACTTCATGAAGAAAGAACTAGACATTAATTTGAAATATTAACCTGTTGCTTTCACAAAAGCACATATGGACCTAGAATATTTATGTAGTTCTAATAGTCACACATTAGAAAAATATGACAATACCACCTGTGAAGTATTCTTGCCAAAACAAATGTGCGGCTGATCATACTCCCTAGATTTAATTACTAATTTACAAGAAATTCGGGGGACAAAGGAACATGTTAAGTGACACCGTAGGAATATAATAAGCCAAATCTAGACAATGGGAAGCTACAGCACAAACAGTTGGTTTTTTTGGAATAAAAGGGAGAGGGGAAGAGGAAACATACGTAGGACATATTAAAAGAGACTCAAGGGACATAACTCACTACAGTGTATGGCATTTATTTGGATTCAAGTTGAAAAATAAACATTTATGAGAGAATAACCCCAAATTGGAAACAACCCAAATATCCATCAGTTGGTAAATGAATGAACACAGTATGATATTGCCACACAGTGGAGTATTATTTGGCAATAAAAAGGAGTGGAGTACGCTAAATGCTACAACATGGATGAATTTTGAAAATATTATGTTAAGTGAAAGAAACCAGGTGCCAAGAGACCACATAATGCATGATTTCATTTATATGAAATGTCTAGAGCAGGGAAATTCACAGAAGCAGTAAATACTATAGATGATGGTTGCCAGCATCTTGGGGGAGAGGGGGAAATTCGGAGTGATTGCTCTTTGGTGTGGGGTTTCTTTTTGGGTGATGAAGATGTTCTGAAATTAGGTAGTGGTGATGAGTTGTACAACCCTGCTTAAATAAACTAAAAGCCATTGAATTGTATACTTTAAAATGATGAATTTAATGATACATGACTTCTATCCGAGTAAAGCTATTAAATTTTTAAAAAGTAATTAAACCAAGATCCAGTGGGAACTTTTTTTTTTTAAGATTTTATTTATTGGGGTGCCTGGGTGGTTCAGTGGTTTAAAGTCTCTGCCTTCGGCTCAGGTCATGATCCCAGGGTTCTGGGATCGAGTCCTGCATGGGTCTCTGCTCAGCATGGAGCCTGCTTCCCTCCCCTCTCTCTCTGCCTGCCTCTCTGCCTACCTGTGATCTCTGTCAAATAAATAAATAAAATCTTTAAAAAAAAAAAAAACTATAACTAGAATTGTTAAAATGACAGAATAAAAAGAAAAATAGTAATATTGCCAATCTATTAACTAAGAAAGTGTAAGACTATTTCAGCAAAGTAAAAATCATCACAAAATGCAGAATTAATAGAACCATTTGTTTCTGAAAGAGGTTCATCATCTCTCACAGAAATAAGGCCTTCAAATTAATAGCTGTATCATCAATTAAAACTGAAAACTTCATGTCTCAAAACTATGGGAGAATAGTATAATCAAACTCCTATATGCCTATCACCTAGTTTTATCAACTCAAGGCCAAACTTGTTTTAAATATACCACACCCATTTCCCACTGCAACTACTTCCTAGCGCCCATTCCCCAGATTTGTTTTGGCGCAAACCCCAGACATATTTCATTTGTAAACACTTCAGTATATATCCCTAGAAGATAAGAGATCTTTTTAAAAAACATGATACCATTATCATACTTTGAAATTCCTTGATATCAGAAAATATCTAGTAAATGTTCAAATTTCACGAATTGCCTCCATTTTCTTACCCAGCAGAAAATGATTTCATTGTTTTTAGGGCTGTCATTAAAGAAAGAATAAAAATAAAACAAGGTTTTTGTGGAAAAAATATAATAGAGGGAGAAAGAAACCTCATGAGCTGGATCTCATGACCCTGAGATCATGATCTGAGCCAAAATCAAGGGTTAAGTGCTTAAACTGACTGAGCCACCCAGTCACCCCATTAATTGTGAAAAATTTTAAACAGTGAAAAGTAGAACCTCCCTGTGTCCCATCACCCAGCTCTCCCAATTAACTAATGGCCAATTTTATTTCTTCTATACCTCTGTCCATTTCCCTTCTAGTATTTTTCTGAAATAAATCCCCAGCATTTGCCACTTCATTTGTAAATATTGCAGCATTCTTAAAAGACGAGTCTCTTTTTTTATGACAAAGTGTCATAACCAAAAAAAAAAAAAAAAGTTACTTAAGTTTCAGTGTCATCAGAGATAATAAAGAGGCAGAGCAATTCTAGATTGAAGGAGATTACGGAAACATGACAACAAGATACAGTGTGTGAGCCTTCGGACATAAGAACAATTTTTAAAGGATATTACTAGGGCAATTTATAAAGGAATTTGGACTTTTTAGATGATTGCGTTGTATTAATGTTAAATTGCCTGAATACTCCTTATACTTCCTGTTAATTATATTGTAGTTATATAGGAGAATCCCTTTATTCTGAAAAGATAATTGCTGATATGTTTAGGGGTAAAATACCTGTCTTCAAATAATTCTCATGTGGTCCAACAAAACATTAACATGCACTTATACATACATACATATAAATTAAAAGAGATAAAATGAATATAGCAATATACTAACAGTTCACAAACTAGGTGAAAGCTATCTGGGTTTTCCTGGTACTCTCTTACAATGTTGTAAGTTAGTCATTTTTCAAAAGGTTGGGGATGGTGAATGAAAAAAAAGTTTTAATGATTTCTTACTGTCCAATATCTATCCAATGAATTGTCTCAATCACAGTGGGTGTTCTCTCTCTCTCTTTTCTGTAACACTTTAAATCAGGATCCAGGTAAAGTTCACATATTGTGATTGGTTGATAAGTCTTCAAATCTATAGGTTTTCCATTTCTTTTTTCTTTTAATTCATTGTTGAAATTGAGTCTTTTTGCTACAGTTTTCTACAGATTGGGTTTTGATGTTGCATTGCCCCAGTATAATTTAGCATGCGTTTCTGTCTTCTGTATTTCCCATAAACTGGTAGTTAAGTCTGAGTGTTGATCAGAAACGTTTGATTTCAGGGGAGCAAGGCTACTTCATAGGTGGTGGTGTTTCTTTCCATCTAGAGGCACAGAATGTCTGCTTGTCTGGCCCTCTTTATAATGTTAGCAGCCATTGGTGCTCAATGACTAAGCCCATTAACTAAATAGGGTTTGGAAAATGATGCTATCATTCCTTCTTTTTTTTTTTTTTAAGATTTTTTAAATTTTTTATTTTTTTTTAATATTTTATTTATTTATTTGACAGAGAGAGACACAGTGAGAGCACAAGCAGGGAGAGTGGGAGAGGGAGAAAAAAAGCAGGCTTCCCGCTGAGCAGGGAGCCTGACATGGGGCTGGATCCCAGGACCCTGGGATCATGACCTGAGCTGAAGGCATGTGCTTAACGACTGAGCCACCCAGGCCCCCCAGATTTTATTTTTAACAATCTCTACACCCAATGTGGGGCTTGAACTTACAACCCCAAAATCAAGGGTCACATGCTCCACCAACAGAGCCAGCCAGGCGCCCCTATCATTCTTTCTTTTATTAGTTGACATACTTCTATAAAGAGAAACTTCCCTTTGTCTGTTTGGTTAGCCAGTGGTATAGTTTCTATAGGAAAAGCAGGATAAATGCTTGATTCTTTCCCTTTACTTCCCAAGTCCAAAGTAGTGAGTTGGTTCGTTAGCATACTCCAATCATGACCACAAATAGGTTTTGTTGTTTTTGTTTTTACTTTAATATGAACTCATGGGGCACCTGAGTGGTTCAGTGGGTTAAACCTCTGCCTTCGGCTCAGGTCATGATCTCAGGGTCCTGGGATCGAGCCCCATATCGGCCTTTCTGCTCAGTGGGGAGCCTGCTTCCCTCCTCTCTCTCTCTCTGCCTGCCTCTCTACCTACTTGTGATCTCTGTCTGTCAAATAAATAAATGAAATCTTAAAAAAAAAAAAAGTTAATATGAACTCATGAATTTAAACATATTTGTGATTTAAACCCATTTCATTAAGCCCTTCATCGACTCCCTGCTCAGTGGGGAGCCTGCTTCTCCCTCTCCTGGCTCGTGTTCTCTGTCGCTATCTCTGTCTCTCTCACTCTCAAAAAGATTTTTAAAATATTCAAAAAAATTTTTACTTCTAAAAAAATAAGTAAGCCCATTTCAGTTATTTTCTTTATTGATGTTCAAATTGTCTTTCTTAGATATCATAGTCTGTAGTATTTTCTTGCTATCTGATATGACGAGGTGTTCCATGCTCAACTTGTACCTCTGTTGACCCCCAGACATGGCATTAGTCCTTTCTCCAAGGTGTCCTGGTTCCTTTTGGTGGTTTTTAAAAATCAAAGTCTGGCTACCAAGGGTTCATCTAGCAACTGGGTTCTTAACTGTTTCTAGTCCTTTTCAGTTGACAGAGATAGGAATTTTTTCAAGGTAAAATGTAATTATGAGTTGATACCATTTTTTTAAAAGCTCTTTTTAGGAGTATGCATTATCTAAAGCAAGAAAATAATAGATGTCTTTTAAATCTCCCTATAGATCCTAAACTATCTTACTCAACTTTATCAACTTGACCTTTTGTGCTATAGATAGCAGGGAAGACTGCTGTCAGTTAATTTCAAAGAAGTGTAATTCTGTGGATTTTTTTTCTTATTTATTTGCAGATGGTAGGAGGCTGTTAGTTGTAGCAGAAAAAAATGAGTTGACTATGTAGGTAAGAACTGCTTTTAGAGCCTTTTTTTTTTTAAGATTTTATTTATTTATTTGACAGAGATCACAAGTAGGCAGAGAGGCAGGAGAAGGAGAGGAAGGGAAGCAGGCTCCCCACCAAGCAGAGAGCCCAACGCGGAGCTTGATCCCAGGACCCCGGGACCATGACCCGAGCCGAAGGCAGAGGCCTTAACCCACTGAGCCACCAAGGCGCCCCTGGTTTTAGAGCTTTAAATGAAAAACAAAACAAAAGACAAATTGTTTTCTTAAAAACTGGATGTGAATTATATGGGAGGAAAATCCAGTTACCTTCTGAACCTGGGGCATGAGGACTAAGGTTAGCCACCCTCGCTTTGAAAGCCCAGACCAGTTTTTTTTTTCCAGGTATTGGCACATGTCATACTTCTGTTCTGGATTATCTAAACAGTACAGTATTTATAACTTTAGCTAAGATGGATTAATTTTAACAAACACCTGGGGTAAGGTGCTCACCAGGAATTTAGAAATAAGGGGAAATGGACTGTCCTCTGCTTGTATACCAGAGGTAAGCCCAGGAAATTAACCTTCAGAAATGCACTGGTTGGGGTGCCTGGGTGGCTCAGTGGGTTAAAGCCTCTGCCTTTGGCTCAGGTCATGATCCCAGGGTCCTGGGGTCAAGCCCTGCATTGGGTTCTCTGCTCTGCAGGGAGCCTGCTTCCTCCTCTCTCTCTGCCTGCCTCTCTGCCTACTTGTGATCTCTATCTGTTAAATAAATAAAATCTTAAAAAAAAAAAAAAAAGAAAAAAGAAATGCACTGGTTGCCGGACAGACATAGCTAGATAATTCAGTAGCAGTTTCCAAAGGAACTTGATGGGATTCTCATTCTCATCAGGCATTGTCACCTACAATGAAGTATTTTCTTGGGGACTGCTGTCCCTCCTCCTCAGTGAGACTGCCTTAGCTTTGTGAGATGATTCCTGTACCTGCATTAAAAGAACATGAAACTTGGCCATTTTTGTCTAGTTTATATCAATATCCCATGGTGATTATTAAGCCCTCTATAAGAGTCCAATTCTTTTACATTAAGAGTAAAATGGTCACAGTACGCAGGTAGTAACTACATGTCAGGAATTAATAGGTATCTGCATCCATTAACTCACTTTCCTCTTGATAAATACAAGAGATGTAGTAGGTGCTATTATCTCTTTTACAAATGGGGACAGAAAGGCTCAGCAGCTTGCATACAGACTTATAGCTAGAAAATGGCAGAACCCCAAGACCTATAGCCAAGCAGTCTGTTTCTGGAATGTCTGCACTAAACACTCAGGCTATCTGCTACATACACTGTGGTAAGAAGGGATAGCTTTATTGTTTTTTTGTTTGTTTGTTTTTGAGATAGCTTTATTGTAAGGAAAGATCTTAAGAAACCAAACTACGGGTAGGAAAGCTGAGCACTATTATATGGAGCAAGTGTTTGCCTGACCTGTCTAGGTCCTCTGGTAGTCATTCTGGGCTCCCTCTATTTCAGTTTTGAAAAACACTGCTCATGTTTTCCTAAAAGGTAGCCTTTTAGTTCCGATTACTTCAGCTTTTTGTTTGTATTAGATAGTAGCCTCCTTAAAAATTGCCTCAGAGACAGAAGTAGCTGGCTAAGCATTAGTTTCTGCTCTAAAACCCCGAGGCCTCTCTACCTATCACGTTAGACCATTGAATCAGACTCCAGCCACATATGTCTTGATGTTAATCTTTTTATTTTCCACTTAAAAAAAGAAAACCCTTTACTAAAAAAAAAGAAAACCCTTTATTATGGAAAATTTCGTACTTATACAAAACTAGACAGAACAGTAAAATGAATGCCCACGTATACAACTCTGCTTCAGTAATTATAAACTGATGGCCAGTCTCATTTCATCTCTATCTTCACCACTTCTCATGCTTTTAAAGCAAATCCCAGACTCTGTATCATTTTTATCAGTAAATAATTAGATTTATTTCTAAAAGATACGGACTTTTTACAAATATAATAATGATACTCCAATTTTTAAAATGAACTTAATCAAATTCCTTAATTAAATATGCACATACTACTTAAATTTCCAAGATTATCTCATGAAAATTGTTCTATAGATTTGGGTTTTTTTGTTTTTTTTTTTTTTAAGATTTTATTTATTTGACAGACAGAGATCACAAGTAGGCAGACAGGCAGGCAGTGAGAGAGGAGGAAGCAGGCTCCCTGCTAAGCCCCAATGTGGGGTTTGACCCCAGGACCCTGGGATCATGACCTGAGCAGAAGGCAGAGGCTTAACCCACTGAGCCACCCAGGCGTCCCCTATAGATTTGTTTAAATCAGGACCCACGTAAGGTGCATACATTGTAATTGGTTGACATATCTCTTATTTATATTCCTTGTATCTTTTTTAGTCTAGAAGTTCGTCCTCCATCTTTTTTTTTTCTTTGCAGTTTTTTTGTTGAAGAAACTAGATTGTTTCAGATATAATTTAGTCTTAGGTATTCTTTCTCGGTCACTAAATTTTACTCTAAGTTTTATTTTTTTTTTTAAAGATTTTATTTATTTATTTGACAGAGAGAGAGATCACAAGTAGGCAGAGAGGCAGAGGGGCGGGGGGAAGCAGGGGAGCAGAGAGCCCGACGCGGGGCTCGATCCCAGGATACTGAGATCATGACCTGAGTCGAAGGCAGTGGCCTAATCCACTGAGCCACCGAGGCGCCCCTCTACGTTTTATTTTTGATGAGGTATTAAAGTAAACCAGTAGGCCTTTCTATTAAAAAGTATTTATGTACTTTTCAGAGAGGGGAAGCTAAGCAAAAATTCTTTTTTTTCTTTGATAGATAAATTAGCTCAAATTTCATAGTAGTTTTTCTCATAAATCTGTTGAACATCTTTGCTATAAAATTTGTTTTATGATTTATATGTTTTATGCATATTTATTCTGAAAATATTTATTTATGTTTATTTATGTAGCCCTTGGAGAAGAAGTTTGTCCGAGTTTCAGGAGAAGCAACTATTGGGCATGTAGAAAAATTCCTCAGAAGAAAAATGGGTCTTGATCCAGCTTGTCAGGTAGAGTACATGTGTGTGAAAGGACAGATAAAGTTGTGAGATCACCTTTAGCATATTGAAGAAAGAGCTGTCTCTAGGATTTCATGCCAAGGCTTTTGTTTTAGGATATGTAGATATTGTAAATATTCATTAAATATTGGTACAGTGATTCTAGCCCCAATTGAATCACATTTGACTTACTGTCTGCTTCTCGCTGCCACTGATAACCGCCTGTAAGTGTCAGAGAAGAGCTGAAGATAAGAGCCTCAGTTCCCCTCTATGGTACTAGCATAACAGATTATCTGTTAGTCATCCACTTCTCTTTAGAGGACATCTTTTTTTTTTTTTTTTTTTTTAAGATTTTATTTATTTATTTGACAGACAGAGATCACAAGTAGGCAGAGAGCCAGGCAGAGAGAGAGGGAGGAAGCAGGCTCCCTGCTGAGCAGAGAGCCCGATGCAGGGCTCGATCCGAGGACCCTGGGATCATGACCCGAGCCGAAGGCAGAGGCTCAACCCACTAAGCCACCCAGGCGCCCCCCTTTTTTATTACTTAAATTTTAAAGGGGTTTTTCTTATTATCCATTATGTGTAAAATTTCATAAAATAATTTTTATTTAAAACACCTATTTGCTGTTAATTCAACTAACATATTTTAAAATTGGCTGAAAGTTTGATAGTGTTTTTAGTACTGGTATTTGTAGGTACGAAATAAATGTCTAATCCAGAGAAATATGACTTCTCTTACTGAGTTTGACATAATGCTGGCTGTATCTCAGGGCAACTAAAAACTGGAATGACTTATCCGTAACTTTGTAGCCGTAACTTGCTTGAGATTATTCCTCATCTTTTAGATAGAGATAGGTAGCTGCTTAGAGACCTCTGGACAAAGAACTGTGAGTGATCCCATAATAGTCTATTATTTCTAAAAACAGAAGTCAGAAAACTTGCACCTGATTATGTAGAATATCTAAGAAGAACCACCCAAGAGGGCTTTATTAGGATATAGATGATTTCTTCTGTGGCTAGATACTGATCAGTACACAATTAGCATTTAGAAGTTTTACATTGGTGTTTTAAGAAATGAGTTGCAGGACACCTGAGTGACTTAGTCAGTTAAGTGTCTGACTCTGATTTTGTCTCAGGTCACAATCTCAGGCTGTGGGATGGAGCCCCTCATTGGGCTCTGTGCTGGGCATGGAGCCTGCTTAAGATTCTCCTTTGAGGAGCCTGGGTGGCTCAATTGGTTAAGCATATGCCTTCAGCTCAGATCATGATCCCAGGGTCCTGGGATTGAGTTGCGCCTTGGGCTCCCTGCTCAGCAGGGAGCCTACTTCTCCCTCTACCTGCCACTCCCCCTGCTTGTGCTCTCCCTCTATCTGTCAAATTAAAAAATGAATAAATAAAATCTTTAAAAAAGAAAAAAAAAAAGATTCTCTCTCCATCTCCTGCCCCTCCCCTCCACCCCCTCTAAATTGCCAAATTGGCTTTACTGTGTAAAAATGTGGGGTTTTTTTCCATATCATAGAATTCAAGGCTTTTAGCATTTTGAGATAAAATTATATAAAATCTGTTTCAACATTTAATTTTTTCTGTCAGTTCTTGGCTCTCTAGGTAAATATTTCTTTCCTATTCAGGTAATATATAGCTGATAACATTCATAATTTACTGTTTCACCAAAATGTTGAAATAATGGAACAGAGAATTACCAGATATGCAGATATTGTGACTAAAGTTGTTTAGACCTTCCAAATCCAAGAGAGAATAAACAAGAGTTACTTCTAATATGAGCAGAACATTGAACGAGTTAACCGTTAATCAAAATAAAATGCTTGGCCAACACAGTCACTTGAGCCTGCTGTGCTGACCTTCTTTAAACCAGTTATTCCCAAGTAGGAAATGTGTGCTTTGTTTACAGATATGTGACCTTCACTTATGGTTATTCACCAGCGGGTATGGATGGGGCTATAGAACTGTTAAATGCTAAACTACCTTTAAAGTTATTTGTGGCACATCAGAATTAAAAAGGAAGATAATTCTGAAAAATAATAAAATACAGATCATGTATTCTTAAGAGATTTAAGTTAGTTCAAAATTACAAATCAGTAATTGTCTGAATAGATTGCATCACTTAGAGATCTCAGTGCCTCTGGATTAACTGTTGTTGAGGTAGTGGTGTTTTGAACTCATTTATGTCTTTTTTTTTTTTTTTTTTTAAGATTCTTTTTATTTGACAGGGAAAGACACAGCTAGAGAGGGAACACAAGCAGGGAGAGTGGGAGAGGGAGAAGCAGGCTTCCCGCTTAGCAGGAGAGCCCAATGCAGGGCTCGATCCCAAGACCCTGAGACCATGACCTGAGCCAAAGGCAGAGGCTTAACCCACTGAGCCATCCAAGCACCCTGTCTTATTTTTATTTTGTTTTACAATTATTCTTGTATTCCTTTGTACATTGTTTGGTCTTAGATCTTACTTTGCTTTTATGAAATGAGACTTAGAAAATAAACATCATATTGATCACTAAAAATTCTTTGTATAAAGGAAGTGATACTAGATTTTGTTTTTAATCCTGCCATAATTAATTATATCTTAAAAGATAGATTATTATTACTTACTTACTATATTACTTTAACCTTGCTATTAAATTGTTTCCAAATCAATTTTTGAACAGACTCTAATGTATCATATGGTGTATCCCTGCCATTTACTTATTACCTATTGATATTAAATTGAGCATCAATGTACTTGGCCGTAAGAGTACAAAGATGAGACAGAAAATTGATACCACCTAGGGATTCGGTTGTGTGGGAGAGATGTGCGGTACAACAGCTGAAAGACAGTAGGATAGGGTGAGTGCAGCAAGAGCACAAGAGTGAACGATTTAACTCTGGAGGAGTCAAAGAATGGACTTGAAGAGTACACAGGAATTTACCAGACAAAGAAAAAAGAACTTCCTATAAAAGAAAAGAACATGTGTGGCACTAGCTTATTCAGTGAAAAATCCTATTCTGAAACTGTAGTGGGATCTTGCTTATAAAAACAAAACAAAAAACAAATGAACAAAAAACAGGTTTTAAAAATAAATAAATAAAAAGATACAGGTTTTTCTTGCCTTAAGACTACCCTCACATTCTGATTTCTGCTCTGAGATTCAGAAATATTATAGTTATCCTTTCTGAGAGTTGATATGCCAGAGGGTAGAAAGATTGTACAGGAAAAGAGATAATAGAGCCAGCTTGAAGCTGCTGTCTATAGAAGGACCTGCTTACCCATTAGCCCTTGCCTGGCATCTAGGAACTTGGCCTGTAAAAAGTTCACTACAATAACAGGGAAAGTGCCCTAACTGATAAGGGTGTTACTCTGTGCCTAGACTGTATAAACAGTGGGTTTGTGATGAATACCAGCTTTCCTTTGGGGAGTCTGGTTGCTAGGCAGAGAATGCCAACATGAACAGCTCTCAGTAAAAATCTATACTCCAAGCTTCAAATGGGCTTCCCTGGGTAGAAACGTACAAGTTGCTTGCATTTCTAGTGCTGGAGAAGGAGTGCTGTGGGTGTATCTTTTCCTAAACTGAGGTGACGGTGGGGTGTGCATAGCCAGCCTGTGCATGAATATGCCCAGACTCTACCTACATCATTCTCCGTTACTGATCTGGCCATGTATCCTTGCTGTGTTTCATGAGTCCATCTAGCAGATTACCAAAAATGTGGATCATTTTTGTGGGTACTTCAGAGATCTGACTGTTTGAATGTGGTAATTTATGAAATATTTACAGTCAGGTGACTTTTAAAAATCAGTATGTAAAAAAAAAATCAGTATATAAAATTGGAATCAATTTAAATGTTTATGTAGGGAATGGGTACATAAAATATGATATATTCATACAGTGTAACACTATGTGGCTATTTTTTTTTAAGATTTTATTTATTTATTTGAGAGAGAAAGAGAGCACAAGCCAGGAGGAGAGGCAGAGGGAGAAGCAGACTCCCCACTGAGCAGGCAGCCCAACACAGGACTCGATCCCAGATCCCTGGGATCATGACTTGAACCAAAGGCAGATGCTTAACCAACTGAGCCACCCAGGTGCCCCCACTGTGTAGGTATTAAAGAGAGAGCTAACTGTGTACTTCAAAGATATCCATGGTATATGAAGGGTTTTTGTTTTGTTTTTTAAATAAGTTGTAGAACAATTTGTGTGGTATAATCCCATTTTAAAGATTTATTTTTTATTTTTATTTTTTATTTATTTGACAGAGATCACACGTAGGCAGAGAGGCAGGCAGAGAGAGAGGGGGAAGCAGGCTCCTTGCAGAGCAGAGAGCCCGATGCGGGGCTCGAAACCAGGACCTTGGGAATCATGACCTGAGCTGAAGGCAGAGGCTTTAACCCACTGAGCCACCCAGGTGCCCCTATAATCCCATTTAAAAAAAAAAAAAAAAAACCCACATGGTCACATAGATCTAGGGCTGTGCACATCAAAATGTTAGTAACTGGCCAACTTCTGGGGGTTAAGATTAAGTTGAAAAATATAGTAACCAAACCATTAATGTGGTTTGACCATATGGTGAAGCTCACAAAGAGTGACGGCCCCTGGGTTGCTGAATACTAAATCAGAACATAGTGATCGTTTCCAAGTTCTTTAATTTTTCATGGACCTAAGTTCTGTGCTCAAGCTACACTATCACTGCTTTTAAGTCATTTTGCAAACAAGTATTGCTCAGCCAATTTTGAAACTACTGAGTGTGAAACACAAAAGTTGGCACTAATTGGTGTTTATTCATTATGATATATAGCTTGGGTGTTGACAAACTATAACCCATGGGTCAAATGTAGCCTGCCATCTGTTTTTATAAACAAAATTTCACTGATCACAGCCCAAATAGGCTGTTTTCTTGCTATATAGTGGCAGATCAAGTAGATACGACAGATCCTATAGCCTACAGAGCCAAAATATTTATTATCTAGCCTTTTATAGAAGAAGTTCACCAACCCCTGACACACACATAGGCTTTGGAGAAAAATAGACCTGGGACAGACCTGGGTTTAGATCCGGACTTTCCTAGTTACTAGCTTTGTGACCTTAGGGAAGTTAAATGTCTTCACCTCTTAGTATTCCTGTCTGTAAAATGGGAATTATAATACCTAGCTCATAAGAATGAAGATTAAATGAGATCACATGTCAGGTTATGTGGTATAATATACGGTATACATAGTAGCTTCTCAGTGAAATGCAACTGCTTTCACGGCTCTTCCCCATCCATGCTTAAGGTTTTAGGAAGATTAACATGTTGGCAGTGTGTGCAATTTTTAGAGTAAACAGAATTTGAAAGTAGGAAGTCTGGTTAAGAGGTGGTGTGGTTTCTGCTTTAAGTCTCGGGGCAGCAGCTGAAAGGATAATATGAACTCTAAGAGGTATTGTGGGGGGGGGAAAAAAGCCATAGGACTTGGTAACTGATCGCATGTAAGAAGAAAGGGGAAGAAGAAATAAAAGGCAGAGGTGATACTCTATTCCGGGTTAGAGGACAAGGAGAAATGTCATGTCATAAACTAAACAGGGGTATGCAGCCAGTGAAGGGATCTATACTAATAAGACATCAAGGACCTGACCCCATTTTAAGGCAATGGGAAAGGAATACTCATTGCAGGACAAAGAAAGACTGAAAATTGCATTTTTGCCTTAGGAAGTAAGTATACTAGAATCTTACTACCATATAGTATATAACTATACAACATCATTATTTCTAGAACATCCAGTGTAAAAGTAGATTTATCTTAGAGCTTTGATATTACTAAAGGACTAAAACGATCCTAAGATGTTGCATCCATAAAATAGTTCCCTTGTGTGTACTTTATGTTAATGTTAGACTCTCCATTGTTGAAAAATTAGATATTCCTTATAAAGGAATTATTCAAATAACTAGAGATTTTCTTTTTAAGTATCGTATACCTTTTTAATCATTTTATCTTAGAACTTTAAAAAAGTGTATCTTCCTGTGCCATCTTTATGCTGAATATATCAAATGTGATTTTACTTGTTCTCAGAGAGTCAAGGAAACCATTTTGAGTATCTGCTGTACTATGCTATTGTCCTGCAATGTCTTCTAATGCTCCTTCCATTTTATTTTTGTAGCAAATAAAATCTGTCTTGAGAGTGTTTTATCAGTCTAAAATAAAATAGCAAAGTCTAGTCTGGAAATAATTACATTGGTTTTTCTTAATTTTTTCATGCAGTTTTTTGAAGCAGGAAAGCAATTTGATACTCTTATTTGCCCATAGGTAGATATCATCTGTGGTGATCACTTGTTGGAGCAGTATCAGACTCTAAGGGAAATTCGACGTGCAATTGGTGACGCAGCTATGCAGGTAGCCCTTCCACTTTATCATGCCTATGCCCGCAGGGAAGCTTTTCAATGAAAAATATGTTATCAGCATTGCTTGCACTGTAAATAGTAAGGCTAATATTTATCAAATGCTTCCTGTGTGTCAAGCACTTTTCTAAACAATTTATATGGTTTAGCTCTTTTGTTCCTCCTATTTCTACCTTTTTTGCGTGGCCATGTTTTTATCTCTCTTTGGAGTTCATCTAGGAGTGGAATCACTGGGTTGTATGGTAACTCTGTGTTTAACCTTTCAAGGAACTGTTAAGACTGTTTCCAAGCGATGTCACCATTTTATAATCCGACCAGCCGTGTATATGGGTTCCAGTTTCCCTCGATCCTTGCCAACACTTACTACCTATTTTTTTTTTATTACAGCCATCCTGTTGGGTGTGCAGTGATGTCTCATTGTAGTTTTGATTTCATTCCCTGGTGGCTAATCATGTTGAGGATCTTTTCATGTGTTTATTAGCCATTTGTCTATCTTTTTTGGAGAAATTTCTATTTAGATCCTTTGTCCACTTTTAAAAACTGGGGTTTTTGTCTTTTTATATTGAGTTGTAAGAGTTCTTCATATGTCCTAAATACTAGTCCATCACTATCAGATATGATTTGTAAAACTTTTCTCCCATTCAGTGGGTAGTCCTTTCATTTCCTTTGTGGTGACCTTTGAAACACAAAAGTTTTTATTTTTTTATTTTATTTTATTTTTTTTAACACAAAAGTTTTTAATTAGAATGAAGTCCATTTTATCTGTTTTTCCTTTTGTTCCTTCTGTGTTTGGTGTCATATCTAAAAACCATTGCCTAACCCAAAATCATAAATATTTGCAGCTATGTTTACCATAGATTAATTTTGTGTATTCTAGAATGTCATATAAGTGGGATCCTAGAACATGAACTCTTTTGTGTCTGGCATCTTTCATTCACCATACATTTTTTTTTTTAATATTTTATTTATTTATTTGACAGAGACAGAGAGAGAAGGAATACAAGCAGGGGGAGTGGGAGACGGAGAGGGAGAAGCAAGCCTACTGCCAAGCAGGGAGCCCGATGCAGGGCTTGATCCCAGGACCCCGGGATCATGACCCGAGCCGAAGGCAGACACCTAATGACTGAGCCACCCAGGCGCCCCTCATTCACCATACATTTTGAAACTTACCCAGTGTGGTTGCATGTAGCAATCATTTATTCCTTTTTATTGTTGCAAAGTATTTCAGTGTATAATATGCCATATTTTATTATTTTCCTATTCATGGACATGTGGGCTATTTCCAGTTTTGGGCTAATACAAAGGAAGTAGCTATAAACAGTCTTATACAAGTATATATTTTTTTTTCTTCCTCCTTGTCGTCTTTTTTAACTAGTTTTTTTTAAGAATATATGCTTTCACTTATTTTGAACAAATAATTAGAAGTGGAATTACTGGATCATAGGAAAGGTGTATGTTTTGTTTACAAGGAAACAACTGTTGTTTTTTTAAGATTTTATTTATTTATTTGACAGACAGTGATCACAAGTAGGCAGAGAGGCAGGCAGAGAGAGAGGGGGAGGCAGGCTCCCTACTGAGCAGAGAGCCTGATGTGGGGCTCGATCCCAGGACTCAGAGATCATGACCTGAGCCAAAGGCAGAGGCTTAACCCACTGAGCCACCCAGGAGCCCCTTTTTTTATGTTTTGTTGTTGTTGTTTTAAGATTTTATTTATTTATTTGACAGAGATCACAAGTAGGCAGAGAGGCAGGCAGAGAGAGGAGGGAAGCAGGCTCCCCACTGAGCAGAGAGCCCAATGCAGGGCTCGCTCCCAGGACCCTGGGATCATGACCTGAGCCGAAGGCAGAGGCCCCAACCGACTGAGCCACCCAGGGGCCCCACTTTTTTTTATGTTTTTAAAAATATTTTATTTATTTATTTGACAGGAGAGAGAGAGAGAGCATTTGCACAAGCAGGGGGAGTGGAGTGGAAGAAGCAGGCTCCTTACTGAGCAGGGAGCCTGATTCAGGGCTCAATCCCAGGACCCAGGATCATGACTTGAGATGAAGGCAGACACCTAACCAACTGAGCCACTCAAGCGCCCCTATTTTATTTCATTTTTTATTAAAGATTTGATTTATTTATTTATTTTTAAATTTATTTTTAAATTTATTTCGAGAGCATGCGTGTGCAAGGGGGGAGGGAGAGAGGGCACCTCAAGCAGACTGTGCTGGCACAGAGCCTGATGCAGGGCTCGATCTCACAACCCTGAGATCACATCCTGAGCTGAAATCAAAGCGGGGACACTTAACCAGCTGAGCCACCCAGACATCCGGAAAATTTTTATCATTTTAAAAAGAGATTTGAAACAAACAAGGCAAAGTGTTAATACTCAATAAAACTGACTACTGGTTACAAAGGTGTTACATTATTCTTTGTACTTTGAAAGTTTTTAAACTTTCAGAGAAGTCATAGGAATAGTATAATGAACATCCATCTGTGCTTTACCCAGATTCACCAGTTTTAACAGTTAGGATTCCATCTGGGAAACAGAACCAGCATGAATGGAATAAGGGATTATATCTTAAAACATTCGTAGGGGCTGGTGAAGAAGTGTGTGAAAAGATACTGCCTGTGGATTAGTAGTCATTGTATATCAAGAGGGCAGCAGTTGGAAGAAAAGATAGACAGAAAGTGGGGAATAGTGAGAATAAACTGGAACCTGGAAGGAGAAATGGCATGTGTGTCTCATCATTTCCATCTTCAGTGATATGTGGGATCTAAAGACAAAGCTGGTGGTCTTTGGCCCAAAATTTAGAGAGGCTGAAGCTGGGAGCAAGAGGAGTTAGCTGCAGGCATGGCTGCTGCCCTCTACCTACAATTCGAGCCAGCATACCCCCAACACTGTGTGTAAGCTGGATGGGCATCTGGTGCCCTGTGATGACCTGAACGTAATGGCTTCTGCCTCCTTCCACTCTGCAAGTCTTGTACAAATCTCTGCTGGCTAACTCAAAAGGGAAGGGAATTCTGGGACTTATAGTTCCAGTTTGGCTAAATTGGCACACCAAAATGCAAAAGAACCAGCTAAAATGAAAAAAGACTCAGAGTTAAGTGTCAGTGTGGATGTGGAGTGACTAGAATTTATATATGTTAGTAGTGGGACTGTGAACTGACCTCATCACTTTGGAATTCTGCTGGTAATATCTACTAAAGCCCACTCCCCCAGCAATTCCATTCCTGAGTATAGATCTAATAGAAATGAATATAGGGGCTCCAGGGTGGCTCAGTGGGTTAAGCCTCTGCCTTTGGCTCAGGTCATGGTCTCAGGGTCCTGGGATCGAGCCCCACATTGGGCTCTCTGCTCAGCAGGGAGCCTGCTTCTCCCTCTCTCTCTGCCTGCCTCTCTGCCTACTTGTGATCTCTGTCAAATATGTAAAAAAAAAAATTTTCTAAAAAAAAATGAATATTATGTCTACCACAAGACATGTACAAGATACTTTATAATACCTTCATTCGCGATAGCCACAAACTAGAAGCAACCCAAATGTCCAACAAAGAATGAGTAAAAAATTGTGGCATATACATGCAATTGAATACAACTATCATATGGAGCGATAGGGATGAGTTGTACAGACTTAACAGTGAGCAAAAGAATATACAGTTGGTAATTATTATTCATGGATTCCATATTTGTAGGTTTGCTTACTTATTAATGTTTTATTGTAACCCTCAAATTAATACTAATAGCCATTTCATGGCCATTCACAGTTTTTCATAACCTTTTTTAATGGTATTTGGATTTTTTAAAGAAATCTCAAGTCTCATAATTTTGCTGACAAAATTTATATGTAATTGAGTATTGGAAAGATGCTCCAAGGCTGATTGTTCTTTGTTGCAATATTACAGGTTATAATTATCCTTCCGTTAGATAGGTACACTATAGGTGTGGAAAGTTTGTCAGAGTAGCAAAAGTAATTGGCAATACAATGATTAGGGACCTTAGTTTTTCAAATGGCTATCATTATTAACTTGAATTTTATGTGTGATTTACAAAGAAGGAAGAGGACTTAGTACCTTTCTGTTTCTTTGAAAAAGTAACTGGCTTTTCCTTGAGCAACAGTTCTCTTATTTCCAAAAAGAAGATGAAGATGTATGAAATGTAATTATTTTTGCAATACAGCCAGCTTAGTGATGGAACAAAATGGTGTTAGGAATCAGTGAAAAAAAGTCTTGAAGTGGTTTGGATTGGAAAGTGAGAAGAAAAAGGGAAATTCATTGATCAGCCTGCCAGGGTAGTTGAGGAACAATACATATATGATGTAGAATCTCAGAAAAAGACAGTAACGTTTCTCAAGCCCTTACTCAAAGCTACTGTATTCTAGGTGCAAAAGAGCATGCGTTACATACTGAAAAATGATTAAAAAGGCACACTGACAGGGAATGTTTGGTGATGAGGTGAATATGAATAAGCAGGTTTATTTATCTTAGACCCTTTATTTTCTTTAAACCAAAGAATTTCACATTAGTGTTGGGCTATGAAAAATAAACCATATCTGACTTAATCATTTACAGAACTGATTTTCAAATAACCCCAAAACACTTTTTTTTTTTTCTTTTCAGGATGGTCTGCTGGTCCTTCATTATGGTCTTGTAGTTTCTCCCTTAAAAATTACTTGAAGATTCTAGCAGCATTAGGAGGAGGGAAACAAAATACGGAGGCTTCTGCAGGATTGCATTTCACCAAAGATTTCCACAGAACATGTAATTGCGACCACTTTGTGCTGTTGGAGACATAACTTACTTATTTTCAGCACCAAGATTCATAGCATTTATAAGTACAATTTGGAATGACAGAATGCGTCTGTTTTACTAGAAACTATATATAAAAAAGCATCCATAGCTCAGGGGGAAATTTTCAAAGCATTAAATTTTTAAATTCCTTGTGATTTCAAATACTTTGATGTTGATTTTGCTTCCTAATCTTTGAGGTAAATCGGTTACTGTTTTCTTCTTTGTTGAGCCATATTCCTTTCAAGTTGGCGGTTAGGATTCTGCCCTCTGGAATGGTATCGGTTGGATGGATGGACGGTCATCCTTTTCGTATTGAAGACTCAAAGCCAGTCTTTGCTGAACTACAGAGTTTACCTCTCAGACAAAGACCAAAACTGTTGACCACTTTTGTATGTTACCATCATATTTTGAACTTGTATCTTTCATTTACCAGCAATACTACTACAGAGACGATATTTACTTCTAAAAGGGATGAATTATCATTCTGTGTGAAGAGACTATCTCCTGCAGGGTTTATTACCGTAAGCCTTCAGTGTGCTAGAGACTTCTTTAACAGATCTTACAACAAGGGGTGCCTCTTTGAAACATTATTTTTATTCTTTGAATGTTAATTTGATTAACATTCATTTTATTTGAGTACATAGTTTGGTTGTCAATACCTTATAATGCCACTGCTTCTGAAAGTAATAAACTTGAGTGAATTTGCAAGTTTACAGAATACTTATTCATTGTTTCCTCAGTCAATTTAATGTTCATTTTCCCATTACTTTGTCACTGGGATAAAAAATACGGGTGCTTGAGAGTTCACTCACATGCAAAGATTTCAGTTTTAAATGTTATTTTGCCTAAAACTAGCATTGTGATGCTTTCTAAAAAAAATATTTTATATACCCTATTTCACTATAAAATTTCCAAGTCTGCACAGAAACAATTACAAATGAATAAGGTTTGGCAATTGTTTTGTAAAGAATTTGTGAATTGTATATAAATCTCTTCTAACATTTAATAAAAATTTTTAATAAAAATTTATTTTAACCTATTCTGAAATGTTCATATTTATTGTGGATTGAAGGAAAAATAACCAAAATTCTTTAAGAGATGAGGCATCCAAATTAAAGTTAAACTACCATCAAACAGATATTTTATAAACATCTTCACTGATTTTACCAGGTGCTGCTCCCTGAGAGTGGACAGAATAGCAACCATGGAGTTCATTGCCTCTTAAATGTTTCTTGCCCAAATTACTTACTATGTTAATTCTTGTCCCACGTTAACATCTGTGTCAGGGATCCCCAAGACTACCTTCAGGTTTAGTGGTTCACTAGAAGGACTCATTATATTTATCCTTATGGTTTATTACAGTGAAAGGATAGAGATTAAAATCAGCAAAGGGAAAAAGATGTATATTGCAGAGTCCAGGAAAAACCAGGTACAAGCTTTCAGTTGTCTCCTCCCCATGGAGACACAGGGACGGTGTTTAATTCTTTGAGCAATGATGTGTGACATGGGTAAACTTGCCAACCAGAGAAGCTCACCTGAGCCTTAGTGCCCAGGGTTTTTCTTGGGAATCCTGCAGTGTCCATGACTGACTCAGCTTTTGAGAGTCCAGCACCCACTCAGTGGTCAAACTGATACAACATATCCCGGGGCTCCAGGTATATAAAAATAGTCATTCACCATAAGTCACATTGTTAGGATAAACTATCTGGTGTGGCCCAAGGTTTCAGGCATACAGACAGGATATTCCAAGGGCTCAGTAACATGGGAAAATACTA